AGAGAGAGACCGGTTCATGGTTGGGGGAAAGAAGCCTGAGAAAAGTTTACGTAAAAATCAGGGCTCGTCGCCTGTGTTTTAGGTTCGGGCTGGACCAGGCTCGGAGGAGTTAGTTGAGCACAAAGACCTTGAGCATCTTAGAAGTGCGGGTGCTTGCCGAAAGCTGGGGTGCATTTTGGGAGCGGGAGGAAGCGTGTTGTCGGTGTCCAGCGTCGCTCTGGAGCAGGAGGTTTAGTTAAACAGGAGCACAGAGCTCCCTGGGGAGAGTGGGGCGAGGGGAGCGGGTACCCGACCCACGTGTCCCAGAAACCAGGCAGCCCCTTCGTGCTGGAAAACTTGTTCGGCGTGTGATTATTTGGCTCAGTTTGTCCCAGGTAGCTCTGCTCTCTCTTTTCCTGGGATGAAAAAGGTAGTCTTTGCCAAAGCGCCCGGTGCCACGGGAGCTAGCCTCTTACGGTGGTGATATCCTCATTAGCTGAGCCTTTCTTTGAGAGCTACTCCGCCGTACATGTGCTCTTCTCCGCCTGGTGACTCTGTAGTTGGCAGGCACGAGGAGTGCGCGTGTGGCAGCCTACACGCACAGTTGGGGATTTTTTTATTGGTTTGTTTTAGTAAGAGCTGAAGTAGGAACATTAAATGTTTTATAAGGACAACGTATCTGGAGAACCGGTTCCTTTTCTGAATCTCCAAATGTATATGTGGTCAGCGCCTTCCCTCATTTACATGACTTTTATTTTTGCTTCATTCTGTGGTTCAGTTTTTATATCGGACTAGTGGCATTTTTGCTTCACTCAACATCTCCGCATTTATTGGAATTAGGATGTTTGAACTCGCTCTCTTCTGTTTCTTGTTAACAATTCTGTTTATGAAAGCTGCCAACATTTTATGTATTTTTCCTAAAATGACTGTTTTGCTGCTGGTGTTAGTGCTATGTTTCTTTATGGTAATATCAAATTATAAAATATTTTCCAAAGCCTCATATTGAGCAAAGGAAATAGTTATTAAAAGAGAGGCTGGGCCATTGTGGGTTTGTCCTGAAGTTGATTGTTTTGTGATGTCTTGAGATCTTCAGTGATGATTTTCTGGGCTTTTTTAGCTCATTTGTTTTTGTACCAAGCAGGCAATATTACCTTTTGTATGAATGAATGTGGTAATGGTGCAGATCTCTTCTGTGATTTTCTTCAGCTGTCTCAAATCTGGTGCTTTTATTTCACCTACTGTTCTACTCTGCTTTTGAGCAGCCTTCCGTTCTGTTACAGCTTTGAGACAGAACCGAAGGATTTTATTTAATGGAGACATTGCTTAAAATCATCTTGACGTAGCATTTAAAAAGACCCACAAAATCACAGGTGATCACTTAACACTGTAGCTTTTCGAAATGTTTGTATTGCTTCGTTGCACATTGTGTTTTGCTTTCTTTATTCATTGTTTATTGCTTTACAGTACAGTGAGCAGGTGTTAAACCTGCTAAAGAAAAATGCTTTTTATTAATACTATATGTTGGCATATCTGTGAGTTATGTGTACAAATATATTTTTATTTCTCTTTCTCAAACCTCTTTGAAATTCAAGAGAGATTTTTTTTACTTGGGTTTTTTTTTAATGCTGTAGTAGCAGAAGCCCATAGTGTTGTTGAGAGCTTTGTCCTTATTTCACAGATGCACTGGGAATTGTTTTTAATCTCCTTTCTGCTTTCCCATTACAGATGGTGATGACGACCCACAACTCTCCTGGGTGGCTTCATCTCCCTCCAGCAAAGATGTTGCATCACCCACTCAGATGATAGGAGATGGGTGTGATCTCGGCATCGGGGAGGAGGAAGGGGGGACTGGCCTGCCATATCCCTGTCAGTTTTGTGATAAGTCCTTCATTCGCCTGAGCTACCTTAAAAGGCACGAGCAGATCCACAGTGACAAACTACCTTTCAAATGCACCTACTGTAGCCGGCTTTTTAAGCACAAGAGAAGTAGGGATCGCCACATAAAGCTTCACACAGGGGATAAAAAGTACCATTGCCATGAATGCGAGGCTGCGTTCTCTCGCAGCGACCACCTCAAAATTCACCTGAAAACCCACAGCTCCAGCAAACCGTTCAAGTGTACTGTGTGTAAACGTGGGTTTTCATCTACCAGCTCATTGCAGAGTCACATGCAAGCTCATAAAAAGAACAAGGAACATATGGCAAAGACTGAGAAAGAGGTGAAGAAGGATGATTTTATGTGTGATTACTGTGAAGAGACATTCAGTCAGACTGAAGATTTGGAGAAGCACGTAATGACACGCCACCCACAGCTTTCCGAGAAGGCAGATTTGCAGTGTATTCATTGCCCTGAAGTATTTGCAGACGAAAACTCGCTGCTCTCACACATTCATCAAGCCCATGCCAACAAAAAACACAAGTGCCCTATGTGCCCGGAGCAGTTTTCTTCAGTGGAGGAAGTCTATTGCCACTTGGACAGCCACAGACAACCTGACTCCAGCAATCACAGCATCAGCCCTGACCCAGTCTTGGGGAGCGTGGCGTCCATGAGCAGCGCAACGCCCGACTCCAGCGCGTCGGTGGAAAGAGGTTCCACCCCAGATTCGACCTTAAAGCCTTTGAGGGGACAAAAGAAAATCAGGTCTGTGGACAGAGAGGAAGGCCAGAACTGGTCTAAAGTTACTTACAGCTGCCCATACTGCTCGAAGCGTGACTTCAACAGCCTTGCTGTTCTGGAGATCCACCTGAAGACTATTCATGCAGACAAACCTCAGCAAAGCCACACGTGCCAGATCTGCCTTGATTCCATGCCTACACTGTACAACTTGAATGAACACGTGAGAAAGGTGCACAAAAACCATGCCTATCCCATGATGCAGTTTAGCAACATTTCTGCCTTTCACTGTAACTACTGCCCGGAGATGTTTGCAGATATTAATAGCTTACAGGAGCACATCCGTATTACTCACTGCGGCCCAAATGCTACCCCTCAAGATGGCAACAACGCTTTCTTCTGTAACCAGTGCTCCATGGGCTTTCTGACCGAAGCAACCTTGACTGAGCATATTCAGCAGACTCACTGCAATGTAGGAAATTCAAAATTGGATTCCCCTGTCATTCAGCCAACACAGTCTTTTATGGAAGTTTATTCATGCCCTTATTGCACAAACTCCCCCATTTTTGGCTCCATCTTGAAGCTTACAAAGCATATTAAAGAAAACCACAAGAACATTCCTCTGGCACACAATAAGAAGTCAAAAGCAGAGCAGAGTCCAGTTTCTTCTGATGTTGAAGTCTCTTCCCCTAAAAGGCAACGGCTTTCTGCTAGCGTAAACTCAGTGTCTAATGGTGAATACCCATGTAATCAGTGTGATCTAAAGTTCTCAAATTTTGAAAGTTTTCAAACCCATTTAAAATTGCATTTGGAGTTGCTGTTGAGGAAACAGTCTTGCCCTCAGTGTAAAGAAGACTTTGATTCCCAGGAGTCTCTTCTGCAACATCTCACTGTACATTACATGACAACTTCAACTCATTATGTATGTGAGAGCTGTGACAAACAGTTTTCTTCGGTGGATGATTTGCAGAAGCATTTGTTGGACATGCATACTTTTGTGTTGTATCACTGCACCCTTTGCCAAGAAGTTTTTGATTCCAAGGTATCTATCCAAGTGCATCTGGCAGTCAAGCATAGCAATGAAAAGAAGATGTATCGTTGCACAGCCTGTAACTGGGATTTTAGGAAGGAGGTGGATCTCCAGATCCATGTGAAGCATAGTCACTTGGGGAATCCGTCAAAGTCTCACAAATGCATCTTCTGCGGTGAGACCTTTAGCACAGAGGTAGAACTGCAGTGCCACATCACAACTCACAGCAAAAAATACAATTGCAAATTTTGTAGCAAAGCTTTTCATGCCATCATCTTGCTTGAAAAGCACTTGCGGGAAAAACATTGTGTTTTTGATGCTAGCGCTGAAAATGGTACAGCTAATGGCATGACCCCAACAAATAAGAAGACAGAAGGGGCAGATATCCAGAACATGCTAATGAAGAATCCAGATACTTCCAACAGTCACGAAGCCAGTGAGGATGATGTAGATGCTTCTGAGCCCATGTATGGCTGTGACATTTGTGGGGCTGCCTACACTATGGAGGTCCTCTTGCAGAACCATCGTTTGAGAGATCATAACATCAGGCCTGGGGAGGATGACTGTTCTAGGAAGAAAGCAGAATTCATCAAAGGTAGCCACAAGTGTAATATCTGCTCAAGGACCTTTTTCTCAGAAAATGGCTTGAGAGAGCACATGCAGACCCATCGAGGCCCAGCTAAACACTACATGTGCCCCATCTGTGGGGAACGCTTCCCATCGCTCCTGACCCTGACGGAGCACAAAGTCACTCACAGCAAGAGTTTGGATACAGGGACATGTCGGATCTGCAAAATGCCGCTGCAGAGCGAGGAGGAATTTATCGAGCACTGCCAGATGCATCCAGATCTCAGAAACTCCCTGACCGGGTTTCGCTGTGTTGTCTGCATGCAGACGGTCACCTCTACCCTTGAGCTGAAAATTCATGGGACGTTCCATATGCAGAAATTGGCAGGAAACTCTGCAACCTCATCGCCCAATGGCCAGGCCTTGCAAAAACTCTACAAGTGTGCATTGTGCTTGAAGGAGTTCCGGAATAAGCAGGACTTGGTAAAGTTGGATGTGAATGGCCTTCCCTATGGCCTGTGTGCTGGATGCATGACCAGGAGCACCAATGGACAGTCTTCAGGCTTGACTCCACAGGAGGTGAACGAGAGACCGTGTGGCAGTCTGAGGTGTCCAGAGTGTAGTGTCAAATTTGAAAGTGCTGAAGACCTAGAAAGCCACATTCAGGTAGACCACCGAGACCTGACGCCTGAGACTAGTGGCCAAAGGAAAGGTACTCAGACGTCCCCTGTTCCCAGAGTAAGTACAGCTGAACTTTAAAATGTCTGAGGGATAAAATGTAGACCTTCGATGTGACTAAGAACTGATCCGATGTTCCTTTTTTTTTTTAAACTGTCACTTTATAGAATTACTTGTGCTACTATAGAAAGCAACAGAACAGAAGGAAAGCTGCAGTAACACACATAGAAAAATTCAATGTTACTCAGCCTTGCAGGCTCCTTGATTCCTAGTGGCAGCGCAACAGTTTTTTTATCATAAAACTGCCCTAGATTTACCATCAGAGAGCTGAGACGGTTGAATGGTGGGGATTGAGTTTGTCCATGAATTATGATGCTACTGAACTGGCAGATCTGGGAAAGCTGGGGCATTTCCATCAAGAAAGGAGATGCTGAGTACCCCAAACAAAACAAACCAAACAAATCTGATCTGTCATACTTGAGGAATGAGATTATTTCTTACTAGGGAACTAAACATGAGCTGGAGGATAAAAGAACTTTTGAGGAAAAATGTAGTGAATTCCACCCTGCCTGCCAAGTTCTCACCTAAAACAAATTTCTGTGTTAAAGAGCTTGTCCTTGTGGATGTCTGTCAGAGTGAACATATTGAGGCTACTTGGATGTCTGTGTCCATAAGCGTGTGCTTATGTGCGTGTGTGTGTGTATGATTTTAAAAGGATCTGCTTCATGGCCCTCCTGTAAGATAAGAAGTTTTCTTAGCAAATCTGGAAATTGTTGTCTAATGCAGGTTACATATAAGTGTGCTCTCCTTTAATGTTCGTAGACAGCCTGCTTTCCCATTTCTTAGCTTACAAGATACCTGGGAACATGCAGATCCAAGTAAGGTTTCAGAAGCCTACTCAAGAGATTAATATCATTTGCAGTTTATAGTCTTTTAAAATTATTTGTTGATGTTTTGGTTCAAGAATGGGCCAAGTCAGTCCTTCCTCTGTCAGGAACAGATGGAATGAGAAGTAGATTTTGGAAATCTTCTCAGGAGACCAACAGCAGACACATCTGAGTATTGATATCATCTGACATTTTTAATTAAACATGATGGGGTGAGATTTTCAAAAGTATCTAAGGAAATTAGGCACCCAACTCCTAATGAATAATTCCAGCCGTGGATGCCTGTTTATGTCAATCTGCTAATTAAAGCACCCACAAAAACATCTTACTGCATTAAAGAACCAGAAAATACTATTCAGCTAGAACACCAGAGGCTCAGGAAGTAATAGAAGACCCTAAGTACATCCTGAGGACACAGGCTGAGATGCCTCAAATAGAGCTGGTGTAGGCTGTGTCCCCAGCGGGACTTGTTAGGTGCAGCTCAGCGCTGGGGCATGCGGGGCAGCAGCGTCCGGCCGAGCCGGGCTGTGCATGGCCAGCTCGGAGCATGGCACTGCCTGCCCCAGCACCCGCTGGCCTCAATGCCCCGGTCCAGACTTCTGAGCGAATCCCACAGAAAGTTTAATTTCTTTTTTTTTTTTTTTTTAATGCTTTTTTAGTAAAACAACTGGATATTGTTCCCTCTGGGTGTGGTGAATGTGTGACTAAGCCTCCAGGCACACACACCTAATTCTGCAGAAGAACGAGGAATGGAAATATCCCTCCTTCAGTGTGATACCTTTTGAGAGTTTGGCTGGGGCTCTGGCTAGGTCATTCTCCTTCCTCCTCCTCAGGCCTTTATTTCCTTCTAAATTCTTTAAAACACCTCTGTTCTCTTAGGACTAATTCTTACTTCATATGGCTGTGCCTTTCGCCCAAAGTATTACCTTTTCTTTCCTATCAGCTATCAGAAGCAGAATACATTGCCATTTTCTGCTCTTATTTCTTGCTTTAACTCTTTCTTTTCAGTGACAGTTTCCATGCTTGTTCTCTCAGGGGAGAGTTTTAACTTCTTCAATAAGGTAAATGCTTTGAATTTCATCCCATGAGGAAAGGTCTTAGTTCCTTTGTAGAAGATAATGAAAAATCAGCATTTGTGATGATGGCAAATGGTACCTTCAACAGGTGTCTATGGCCTGCACGTATGCTAATATTGGAGACCTTTGTAGTATGCATCCCAGGAACAGATATATTGTTATTAGGAAGAATTCATTATCTTACCCTTCATTATATGTACAAGACCTGAATTCTGATATCAGTTCACGTGGAAAATGGTGGTGTTTCACTCAGGCTTCTCAAGGCAATGAGTGCCCTCTGTGTCTGCCTAGCACAGGAGTTTTCGAAGAATTACGCTGTCTTTTAAATGGTGATAAAACCCTGTATTTCAAGAATAGCATTTACTTAACTTCATTCGCTTCACAGCAAAGCTAAGCAAGTTGAACACAATCTTTCTTGTCCTCTTGTTAGCATGCTGCGCACAGGTAAAATACCATTTTACTGGAGCAATCTTAAGTGCACAATGCATGTAGAGTAATCTGCAGATGTCCAGACAAGAGCTGCTTCTCTCCAATTCTTGAGCACTTCTACATTTCTTTTTTAAACACCTTATTGATTTTTGTTTCTTAAACAGAAAAGCAGTTGAAAATTAGGACAAGGTACAGTCAGAAAGAAAATATAGGGAGATTATATACTTCAAGGCATATACTTCAGAGTAAGGAAGAATAAGCCAAATGAAATCCAAGGAAATGGAAACAGTGATGATGATGTACAAAATACGTAACTTCTTTGAATGTTGGAAATCACTCTGTCAGCAGTTATACTTCTTGAACGGAAGAAGAGAGTGTGGAAGCCTAGGGGAATTTCAGAAAAAAACTTAAAAGATCATTTAACCCCAAAGTGGAAGGAATGAGGAAAATAAATATTAGCTCTTGATCAATAAAAAGTGAAAATATTTGGGAGGAAAAACAAGATATTGAGCAGGAGAAAAAAATCATTCCTTTTTACTGTATGTATTTATGTTCACATATGTACGCACATGGATAGAGCACCACAAAGGGAGTATGAATATTTTGTTCTATTTTGTTTGGGGGTTTTACTATTGAATTTTTGGAGGTTTTGTTCTGAAAATCAGTTGGAGACAGCTAGATGAGGATCAAAAAGCACTCAGAATTGCTTGGCAGTTTTGTGGTTGTTTTTTTTTATATCCATAAGAATGAAAAAGAAAGCACATAACCCTTGAACCTTCTGTTCCGTTTTCTTCACTTACATTTTAGTATGGCAAACAACCAGGAAGAAATATCTATGAATTCATTGCCTGTGGTTCTAGGGTATCTAGCTAGGATCTAATCACGATGATCAATAAAGGTAGATTTCCAGAAAGATGAAGTTTTTGCTTCCTGTACATGGAAACATCTGCATCAGAGGATTTGTATTAGGAGATTTTAAGTGAAGCTGATGGTCTTCTATATGGAACATCACTAAGAGGAATAAATAAAATATGCCTTTTTAGCAAAAGGTTGGTCTAACATCAATTTGTGTTTAATTCTTATAGTTAGTTCTACATGAGCTATTCTTTTTGGGTAGGACTGAAAGGATATTTTTAGATGAGCATCACAAGTGGAGGTCCCATTCTGGTATCTGGCACATATATAGCTTGAGACCTTTTTTTGTTCTATTATGATCGCATTAGAGGTAATGCTTTAATTTTTTTGAACATATTTCTGTGCGTAGGAGCTTCAGTTTTGAATACATTTTATTAATTCCTTTTAACACGTCTTCTAGAGGAACGTGCATGTCTTGAGAAACATTACTAGTTGTTTAGTCTTGAGATTTGTCATTGCCTCTTGTAATACTGGAAACAGTCACGTTTCTGGCTGCTCTTTCTCTTACAATGAATTTATCCTTATTTTGTGCCATAGTTATCATGAACAATGCTTGTTTAATGTTGACAATGGCAAATGCTTACTCTTCAACTAAATTTCCATCTTGAATGGTCTTACTATATTTAGCCCACCTAGGTTATTTGGACTGAAGAAGCAAAGGAGGTGGCATAGAAAGTTGGAAGAACTAATCCTGTTGGGCTCTTTATTCAGTTCCTTTTCTCCTGCACACTTTCTTGGACTCAATTCCTTCTCTTTGTTCTCCCCCGCACCCCTTCTCTTCCCTTGTAAATCCACTTGAATGGAGGAATATTTTCTTTGTAGAACAGGAAACCATTTCCAGATTTGAAGGAGGACAGTCTGGAAAACCCATGGGAACAATAGTTACTTCACAAAAGAAGCCAGAACCCTCTGTTGTTAATACTACTATGTTGTGCCAAAATTAGAATTGAGTATCTTGACTTAATGGGGATTGAGCTCTCGGCTGAATGCCTGCTTGTCTGGTCTCTTATGTCACCTAGATGCCATCACCTAGACTCTGTTAGCTCCTCAGAGTCTGGGTACCTTTGTTGTCACCACACGTCAAGGTGAAACTTTAAAAATAGATAATGGATCTATTAATAATGCTTGTGAAGCCATGATACCCACAAAAAGGGTAGCAGAAGATCATATTTGGTGCCACAAAACCCACAACCTTGCATTAGAACTAGTGGTCCCCATTTACTAAGAATGGAAGTCTGGTTTTGTCACAGTCTTTTAAAGAGAATTATTAATGAGCCAAAAATTCATCTCTTCCATCTCTCGCCTATACATTTGAGTGCCAATCTAGCTATAGTAATTTCGTGGCCTGTATGAGGCCGTTTATAAACCTCACGCCATATCAAGTGGGGTACCCTATCACAAGAGCCATCGCCACAGTTGAACTGTGCTTTTGCATGCATGTGTCACAGCTGAGGCTAAAGATAATACTCAGAGGAAGTCTGAAATCTGCCGTCTTCTCTGAGGGGTGGTCATGCCAAGCGGAGTGTTTTATAAGTTTGTGAAATGGTGTGGAGGAGTTTGCACTGGGTCTGTGGGTAAACAAAGACATCCTGTCTCCAGATCTGTTAGTAAGTAGCTTTCAGAAGCACCGAAATCAATTAAAAAAAAATATGAATCATTTGTCTGTGTTTAATATAACTTTAAAGGTTTGAAATAGAGTTGAGCTGAAATATTGTCCTTCTTAGCTAGTTACTTAGGGAGCCCTCATAACAGAGATAAGTGTTGAACAAGGCCCAGAACTTAGTCAGCTTTGAAGTTTTAAAGAAGAGGAAGGTTTCAAGTTTTAAATGTGACCACATGAATCGTTCACCGCCCAATCCCATTTTTCTTTTCCAAGAGTTTTTGTGTATTGTTTTGTTTTTAAAGTTAGGAGCCCTCAGCATGTGTATGCCAGCGTGTTTGAGAGGACGTGTGGACGTATGTGTGCTGTGCTCGTCTGCCGGAATAGATTCCCAAGAAAGAGTGCTGCAGAAATCCAGCTGCTTTTCCATTAACAGCCTTGATTTCTGAATGGACTCCAGGAGGATACTTTCTTGAGCTGCCTAGGGATAACTAGCCAATCCAGACTATTTCCTTTTATATGGTTGGCTGTGTCAGGTTTCGGCCAATGGAGTATAGCCCTCTCCTATTATCATGTTAATCACCCATTGTTATTTTAGCCTAGAAAGCCCTGCCTATGTGCAAACACATACTGCGTGCAGAATTCGGGGAATACGCATAACATCCATAGGCTGGTGCATTTGTTATTATGGTATTACAGCCTGTTCATTAACCTCCAGCAGGCTAACTTGTTGCCACTGATGACATGGGAAGTAGTTAAGAAGCTCTCGGCAGCACCTAATTTGTTCTTTCCTCAGCAGGTGCTCGAGGAAATTGGATCCCATGCGCGGAGGGGGTGACAGCAACTCCTCTGTTTAACTCAAAACTTCTGACTTATTACTGCTGTCCTAAAAATGGGATTCTATATGTAGGTGTGGGGTGGAGGCTGTACAAAAAAACCTAACGTGCATCTAAAGTGCGCAAAAAATACACACAAAATATTTTGCTTCAAAACAGTTGAGAGGGTGTTGTTCACTGAATTGGGTTTCTCAGTGCTTATGGCTTGGGACTCCTATCCATTCCTCAGCTAACTGAGCTTGTGGCCAGCGCGTGCAGATTTCACCTATGTTCTGCTGCCATCCGCTCTAGCTGTAAGGATACGGACCACATGCTCATGCTCGTGCTCATGCCTGGTGGCAAGTGTTGCAGTAAGGTTCTTCTCTAGGAAGAAGTAGACACAAAAGGCCCACTTTTTCTAAATTGCATGTCAAAAGATCTCTATTTACATAGCATATTCCCATGCAGTAATTGAGCATGCACATTAAACCAAAGCACTGTACGTCTGCTTTGGCAAATGAGAGTTTTTGCAAGTGTACAAAAGCTTAGCATCAGTGTTTTGGTTTTTTCCTAACTTGGATGTCTAACTTGTCAACATGCATTTTCATTTCTACAAATGATTTCTTGGATTTTTTCCTGTCATGTTGCACGAGTACACTCACCACTGTCAATCTGAGTGCAAACCCCATTTTCCCTATTTGAATAAATGGTTCATGTAGTTGCCTCTTCACGCTATCTCCTGACTTCTGCAGCTAAGCCTCCCTGGTATGACTTTGAGACGGAGAAAATACACCACAGATTGTGCTAGGAAACCAGACTTTGTGGTAATGCAGTTTTTCCAGGATTTCTGATGTGGGAGACCATTACAAAATGTATTTTTTCCTTTTGTCCTTCACTTCCCCAGGTAACTATAGGTGTTTTGCCTACTGTATTTTGGTTTTAACTAAAGAAGGATTTTTTTGAGAAATTTGATCTTTTTCTGAAAAAACGGTTACCTTTCAATGTCTTTCATTTCACTCTACAGGAATTTTTACTGCAATGGGTTAAATGACACGAGCAACCTGATTATGGCTGAAGTACTCAATCAGATTTTCAACTACTATAATTTGAAATTTTTCAAGTTGAAATTAAAAATTCTCCTAGAGCAGGCTGATAATTAGAGATTGTAGTCGTGGTCCCAGAGAAGCCCAGCCCAACTTGGTGTCTTGTTGGGGATAAATGAGCAGAAAAGGCCTCAGTGGAGGAAAGTTGAAGCACGTAACATGCTATATTCATGATCACACTTGCCTTATGCTACAGTGCAGTTTTCTCTAATCTCTTTTTGGTTATTAAACAGAAAAAGACCTATCAATGCATCAAGTGCCAGATGACCTTTGAGAATGAGAGAGAGATACAAATCCATGTCGCTAACCATATGATTGGTAAGACATTCTTTAAACTAGGCCACTCATCGGCTGCTTGTTTTTTGCTACTCTTTGAAATTCACTATTCTAATAACTTGTTAATATTCATGCTGTAATTTATTTTTTTTATCTTTCAAGGAAAATGATTTTGATGTAATGATTCTTCACTTCAAAGCTTTTTAAATATGTGGTTATAAAAGTGTTACTGCTGAGCTTTTTTCCTTATCCTTTTGAGTCCTCGTGTAGCATTTTCATTTATATTAAAATCAAACTTTTGACAGTATCTTCCATTTGATAGCATAAATTTCTCTCTATCCATGTAAAAAGTACTTGCCAGTTGTCAACCACTTAGGAGCAATTATGTTTCAATTTTGTATGTCATGACATTGAATAGATTTAACTGCTAGCATTTTCCCAGCTAAGTGTGGTGAATTCCTGAGGAACACTGTCAAAACAAAACACTTACAGAGTTATTTCAGTGGGTTTTTGCTTCTTTTTCCAACAATTCTGGACTTCAGAAAGTTCAACTTTTCAGACATACAAGTGTTTTAAAAATCAGTGCTTGTCTACCTTCTACTACAGTCCTGTCGCAAGAGTTTGTAGTAAAGTGTTATTGTAATCCGATGGGTTGTATTTCTGCTGCAGCTGTATGATTGCTTTTCTGATGAACGCAAAGAAATGTTTTTCCTGTCTGTACAGATGTTATAAATATATACGTTGGCCCAAGAGGTCAGTTTATTTTGATGCATAGACCACAAAGGAGTTACTCACACATGCCACTGTAGGCATATGTTGGATGAGATCCTTCAAGGACCCTACAGCACACTCTGTGTGTCTCGTATGTTCACATGCAGCATTTATCTCCTATAAGCATAATGGTTTTCCTTCAACAATTTTACATTTAGGAAACTATTCTGCCATCATTGCATGTATGTAACTCCTATTATCTTTGAAGTGAATTATGCATAAATACCAGAGAGACAGAAACACGGACTGACGCAGTCTTCGCACCCCCATGCCCAAATGAAAAATATACATGTCAGTCACAATAATTTTCATCCGAGAGCCAGGCAGGAGTTTGAAATCAATGTCAAGCAGGTTAAGATGAAGATATCTAAAAATGTTTGCTTTTGTAGCAGGTGTTAATGTAATCTCTTGTTTGCAAGCTTGAAGAGTGAGATCCTTGTTAATTGGACCATAGTGATTTCATGTAGCTCCCCCCTAGATTTTTTTTTAAGAAGCCTGAAAGAAAGAAGTCCGTAGGCAAGCTTAGCGCTTGTTTCAACTTAATTTGTGATCCAGTAGCTAATAAATGATTTTTAAATACAAAGGTCATGAAGTGCTGAATTAAGGTTCTGCTTGATTCGAATGGGGAATTCTTTTTCCTCTTGGAAAGATGTAATTTGTTCATTTCCCAGTAACTTATGTGTGAAGTTTATTTACGTATACCCCCAAATTAGTGCTGTCTGGAATAATACGCAATGATATATGTGACATTGCAAGGTTCACTATTAGTGGTGCTGGAAAACAGAAGGCAGAGGAGGCTGAGAAAAGTGTGGTGCTGCTTTTTGTGAAAACTGTACCTCTTGTTTCCTTGAAGCTGTACGTAAGTTATTATACATATTTGGAAGAACTCTGTATAAATACAAAGGTGCATACAGACTTAGTTCCGTACACCTAGAACATTGTAAATACCAGGATGTGGTAAAAAAATGTGTGATTATTCCATTGTGGTATCATGTCTTTGTGTCGCTTTGCTGAGATATGGACTGAGAACATTCATTAAATTCAAGTCATCACTTTTTTTTTTTGGTGCAGTTTAAGAAAGAGTGAAGTATAGAAACCTTTAATGTGGAGCCAGGCTTCCTCCTGCTGTGGGCATCTCAGTTCACAAGGCACTTGGGGCCCCCTCTCCTTCGGGATGTGTGGCTGCTTCCGAAAAGGTGTTGTCAGTGAGTCTGCTGTTGGTATTTGCTCTTTACTGGAGAATACTGAAGGGGAAAGGAGAGACTAGATATCGCTGACTAGATATCAACTTTTTTCCAGTGATAAATGCTGTGCAGATTTTTTTTGTTAATTTGCATAGTGCTGGGTCAGTAATAGTAAGGAGAGTGATGGATTCCCTCTTGGGCAATCCTGTGCCCTTTGTTCAAAGCCCAAGAGCCCTGAGCCCTTACTCAGGCCGTAGGAGAGACGGGCACATGCCTCCTTACTGCTCAGGCTGCTTTATCACTTATAAAATAAGGGGTGCAAGAGTTTCCCTTCTGTGTGTTAGACCAAGTCTAGCCAGATGGGCAGCGAGAGAAAGAAGCTAATATAGCTGTTCCTGCAGCCCAGGTCTGTGTCACAGGACTTATTAATGTCATCGTTGTCAATTTAAGATCTACAGATGAGGATTTGTTTGTGCTGGGGGGACACTGAGATCCCAGGGTGAACATACAGGTGTTTTGAGGGCGGGGGGGAGCTTGCCCTTAGACTGTGTCGCCTCAGGAGCTTAGGGTTGGATCCATCTCAATGAACTTGTATCTGTCTACAATTAAGGTGTCTGGTTTAATATAGTCATTGAGATGCTGTCTGGGGACAATGAATGATTGATACCAATCTAAGATAAGAGTTTGAGTAGGATAAGCATTTCCAGGGAGAGATTTTTATCTCTTCTTTGAATTTGAAGTGAGCCAAGACAATGAAGTTAGCCTTGACATGTAATTTTTAGGTAAAAAAACCCTTGGCTTTTGGTAATCCAAGACCTCTCAGCAGCACTTTGTTCTCATACTTTGAGAAACACAAAATCAATAGTTGAGGTATCCTAAGCACTTGCTTCATTTTATTCTGCTGCAGTGACTGTCAACAAAGGAATCCCTGCTCTGTAGCAGTGTCACCTCTTAAGTATCAGTGTCCGTAATATGATTAAAGAATTCAGTTATTCCTTATATCGTAGTCTTAAGAAGTGCATCCAGTTAAGTTGGCTGTGCCTCCCTCTTCAACCTCTTGGCTTCTCAGCCTGCAGTCGGAGGCCCTGCTAATAATTCATGGAGGTAGGGGGTATATTTTTTTCAAAGCAGTATGCAGGGAATTTCCAGTGCTACTCCCACACACCGCTTTGAAAAATTACCCTTCTGCACTCTAGCCCTTCATATCCTGTGCACAAACACAGAGGCATATTGGGTCCTGTGCAGGGTCCCGGGGGAAGGCGCAGGCTGGATACATCCCCAAAGGAGGTAAATGGTAGATGTTTTGTTTCATTTTACACTGGGGCCTGTAGGAGGTCTGTAAGCAGCAGCACAGACCTCCTCAGCTGTGGTTAGCCAGGAAGGGATCTGTTTAGAAATGTTTTCAGCCGGGGGGGG